GTAGTCGTAGTCGTAGTAATTGTCGTCGTCGTCTCCGTCGTCGTCGTCGTCGTCGTCGTCTTCGTCGTCGTCGTCGTCAGCGGAGGGTTCGTAGTAGTCGTAGTAGGAGTAGCAGGAGTCTTAGGAGTAGGAGTAGGAGTAGTAGTAATCTTTGGTTCCAGATGTCCCAGGGTAGTAGTAGTCGTTGTCGTAGTAGTAGTCGTAGTAATTGTCGTCGTCGTCTCCGTCGTCGTCGTCGTCTTCGTCGTCGTCGTCGTCGTCGTCAGCGGAGGAGTCGTAGTAGTCGTAGTAGGAGTAGCAGGAGTCTTAGGAGTAGGAGTAGGAATAGTAGTAATCTTTGGTTCCAGATGTCCCAGAGGGACCCAAATTGCCAAAACCTTTATCATACATCTTCGACCACGTGGAGCAAGGGTGTCCGCGGTTCGGTCGGTTAGGCTGTGCCACAATCGATTGCGCTTGGTCGGTTCGGATCGGTCGGTTGGTGCGCCGTTGTCGCGCTGTTGCGTCCTTTTCGTTTGCTTTTCGTAGACAGTGGCGCGAGGGCTGCGGCCTTCTAGGAAAGTGGGGGCTCTCAAGATGATGCGTCCCTGGAGGGGCCCGGGCCCTCACAGGCTTCTGAGAGGGCTTCTCAAAAGCTTCTGGGTCCTGCTATGAAGCCCCTGCCTCCGAAGAAGCCTTCAGGCTTCTGAGAAGTCGCTCCCTGGCGTTCATCTCCCGCCTCTCCACCGGGTGCGCGGTGCCAACGTGTGAAGGAAGGGCCTCACAAGGGGAATCCCGCCAGGGACGAGATCAAGCAGATCCAGGAGGAGCTGGAGATGCTCAGGCAGCAGGAGAGCCGCGACCAGCAGCGCCTTGAGGACGGCCCCTCCGCGGCGGATTGATCAGGAGGAGGAGGAGGAGGAGGAGGAGGAGGAGGAGGAGGAGGAAAGGGAAGACGAGGGTTGACGGGGAACTAGGCGGATCGAGGATCCAGTGGGATTTGATGCTTTTGGTTTTCATTGCTATGTTTTGTTTATCGGTCTCCAGAGGCATGCAGAGGCCTGCCAGAGTGGCAAGGAAGGAGGGGAGGAGGATGCGAATGTGGGAGAAGGACGTGGACAGGGAGGAAAAGAACCGTCTCCTCCTCGTCTTTCACCGTTTCTGGGACGTCGGAGGAAGAGGAGGAGGAGAACGGAGGAGGCGGAGGAAGAGAAGGGGAGGAGGAAGAGGAGGAGGAGGACGAGTAGGAGGGTGAGGAGGAGGAGGAGGAGGAGTGATGATGATGATGATGATGATGATGATGATGATGATGATGATGATGATGAGGATGCCGATAAGTGGTGATGGTGGTGATGGTGATGATGGTGATAATGATAAGGATGATGACGACGATTATGTGATGACGATGATGATGATGTTTATGATGATGATGGTGATGATGATGATCAGGTTGATGGTGATGAGGATGATGAAGAAGATTATAGTGAACATCATCATCATCGTGGATGACGACGATGACGAGGACAATAAACGATGCTGCTGCTGATGCTGACGATGAAGCGGAGGAGGAGGAGGAATGTTGATGATGATGCCGATGATGATGTTGGTGATCAAGATCATGATTCTGATGATGATGTTTCGTTTGATGACGATGATGCTGATGCTGATGCTGATGCTGATGATGATGATGATGATGATGATGCCGATGCTGATGCTGACGATGATTGTGGCGACGAGGATGCTGATGGTGGTTGCGGTGGTTGTGGTGGTGATGGTGATGATGATGACGATATTGATGATGGTGATGATGATGATGATGATGATGATGATGATGATGATGAAATGATGATGCTGCTGATGATGATGATGATGATGCTGGTGCTGACGATGACGAGGATGATGATGCTGATGATTGTGCTGTTGTTGGTGTTGATGATGATAATGGCGATGAAGATGAAGATGATGATGATGGTGATGATGATGATGATGATGATGATGCTGATGATGATGATGATGATGATGATGATGATGATGATGATTATGACGATGCTGATGCTGATGCTGATGCTGATGCTGATGCTGATGCTGATGCTGATGCTGATGCTGCTGCTGCTGATGCTGCTGCTGCTGCTGATGATGATGATGATGATGATGATGATGATGGGTGGTGGTGGTGGCGGTGCTGCTGCTGATGATGATGATGATGAGGAGGAGGAGGAGGAGGACCGATGGAAACCCACGAACCATCATCGATGTTGGACTAATCCCTCCGTCGAAGCTTCCTCGTCATAGGCCCCTACAGGAGGAAGGGGAAGGCGGAGGAGGAGGAGGAGGAGTAGGAGGAGGATCACAGTAAGCCCCGGATGCAATAACGATGCCGCAGTATGCCCTCCCGTCCCAAGCGCCCTCTTCAACAGTCCCCTGTAAGTGTTCCCAGTCCTTGCAAGAAGCGCCGCTTGCAAAAGACGAGTGCCTGGTGGGCCTGCCTGCCATTGCGGCGATGCAGCCACGCTTGAGAAAGAGGTAGCCTTGTATCTTTCCAGCGAGTAATGAGAAACGCTCCTCCTCCTCCTCCTCGTCCTAAATGCGACAAGATAGGATCAGAAAGTTCAGTGGTCATTGAAGGCGAAGAAATATCTCACGCGCGAGCCCCATTTTGAACATGCACCGACCGCCTACGTGTTTTCAAGCTTCCTGTAAGTTGGAGGAAGATTCAGACGAGAGCCCAATTTTGGAAAGGAGCCACCCTCCATCCGTGCAACTGTTGCGCATTATTACGCATGTGGTAGCATCGTTGAAGTCTGCGGCCGAGGGCTCCATCTTGCCAACGTGCCAGCCTCCATCGCTGTAGCTGTTGCAAGATTGTCAGACGAATGTGGGCGGCGCTTTGGCGAGAACCCCGTCTTGAAAAGGTCCTCGTGTGCTGCAAGTTTCGATGACGAGCGTGTGTGGTGCTAGGGCGAGAGCCCCGTGTTGGAAATCACCCGGCTTCCATCCATGTTGCTGTTGCAGGCTTTGGCCACGCATTTCCGCACCCTATTTTGACAAAGACCTGACCTGCATCCGTGCAGCTGTTGGAAATTCTCTCTTCGAAGTAGTAATGTGTCAGGGAGTCTCAGGAGATGGAGGAATTGCTGATGCCAGGAACAGGGATGGGGGAGGAGGAGGAGGAGGAGGAGGAGGAGGAGGAGGAGGAACATGATGATTATGAGGAGAGGTTGGCAAAGGAGCGAGGCGAGGAGGGAGGAAGATGGATGATCAGGAGGAAGATGGCCAGGGGAAGGCTAGGGGGAGAGGGGAGGAGGAGAGGTAGGAGCCCTGTGGTTGGAAGAGGAGACGGACGGGGAGTGCGATGGGGAACGATTGTCCCCCTGTCCCACCTCCACTGCGTCGAGGTGGCCATGGGTGCGCCCGAGCATGTCCCACCTCCCGGAAGGGCAGATCGACTACAGAGCTTCGGGTCCAAGTCGATGTGCCCGAGCATGTCGGTTGTGCCGCCCGTTGCGTCGGAGGATGCGGGAACGCGAGGCCAGGGCCGCCGAAGGCCGCCGAGGCCGGCCGCTGGACGCCCAGGGCCGCCGAGGCCGCCAGAGGCCGCCGAGGGCCGCCGAAGGCCGTCGAAGGGCCACCATAGGCCGCCGAAGGCCGCAGACGGGCAACCGAAGGCCGCCGAAGGCCGCCGAAGGAGCGGAGGCCGCCGAAGGCCATCGAAGGCCGCTGCAGACGGGCCGCCGAAGGCCGCCAAAGGCCGCCGAAGGCGATGCCCCGCTTTGCGTCCCCGCTGTGCTGGAGCGCCGCCGGGCGCGCGGCCCGAGGCGGGGACGTATACCTTTTTGGAGGATCGATTTTCGAGGACCTCGACAGGCGGTGGATCTGGATATATTCGGGCCTTCTGGGGCACAGGTATATCCATATTCACCGCCCGCTGGGCTCCCAGAGCGTCGGTTCCACAGGCGGTGGATGTGGATGTATCCCCGCCTCGCATGCGGCTGGGCAGGAATACAACGAGAGGTGCACCCTCATAGAGGCCGAGACGGCCACCAACAAGGAGCCTGCCTGGGGCTTGGGCGAGGTCGAGAGAGAACACACGCCATAAACATCAACTTTCGGCGCTCCGCGCGGACTTCTTGGATCGGCGCTTTGCCGCCCTGGCGGCGCATCCGGCGCCGCCCCTGGCGCGCTCTGGGCGCCAGGGAGGGGGGCCTAGCGCCGATCCAAGACGTCCGCGCGGAGCTCCGAAATTCGGTGTCTATGCAGTTTTCTCCTCCTCTCGGAGGGCCTTCTGTTCTTACCCATTGGAGGAGGCATGGGCGGGTGGGAGGGCGGGGGATCACGGTTACGAGAGGCAAGACTGGCGCTACGAGGCGCAGGACAGCTCTCTGAGCACGATGGGGCGTCAAGAACTATCTCCAGCCCCGCGTCCTGAGGTTCGAGCACGGGCGGGCGCACGACGGGCGCGCAGGCTGGTTCGAGAACGTATCCAGGACGAGGAGGAGGAGGAGGATGAGGAGGGGGAAGAGGAGGAGGGGGAGGAGGAGGAGGAGAAGGAGGAGGAGGAGGAGGAGGAAGGAGGAGGGAGGAGGAGGAGGAGGAGGGAGGAGGGAGGAGGGAGGAGGGAGGAGGAGGAGGGAGGAGGGAGGAGGGAGGAGGGAGGAGGGAGGAGGAGGGAGGGAGGAGGAGGGAGGGAGGAGGGAGGAGGAGGAGGGAGGAGGGGAGGAGGGAGGGGGGAGGAGGGAGGAGGAGGAGGGAGGAGGGAGGAGGGAGGAGGGAGGAGGGAGGAGGGAGGAGGGAGGCTGAGGGAGGAGGATTGGATTGCGCTCTGATTCGCCGAGGAGACGGTCAGCTTGGTGCGGCACTCACTAGCTGCTGGCAGAAGCACGCGGTATCTAGCAGCACGGGCGCCAAGGTTTGGTGAAACTCCCGCCCCGTCACCTAACCCGTACCCATCATCCTCCTTCACGGCCAGTGCGGCGGCCCTGGAGCGGCGGCATGCAAACATAGAGCCTGGTGCTCGGGCACGGCTACTGCTAGCATCAACGGCTATTCTGCCTTGGAGGTGGAGGGAGGCGGGATGGAGGGAGGACATGATAAGAGGGAGGAGGAAAGGCTGGGGCACAGACCACGTCTCCTACGCGCAGTTTCTAGGGAATAGACCTGCGCACCACTGGCCCGGTGAGGGAAGAAGGGTAGTTATCTTCGCAGCCACGCAAGGCACAACGCGATTATCTGCACGCCGGAGCAAGGGCGATTCGAAGCTAGGCCACGGCAAGATCAAGCTAACCACTACGGCGATACTCCAGGCTCACACTTACAGCACGAGCGGGGACAAAGTGCAAGGCAGTGCCGAACAGAAAGTACAACCACAGTGTAAGTATGAATGTCAACAGCCTGCTCCAAACCCGCTCCTCTCTTTCGCCTCCTCCATGTCATAGGCCAGCAGCTGGGCCGCCAGCGTGCCGCACAGAGAAGCGACCACCATGGCTGGGGCATACGGCCGCGCGGTAGGGGGAAGCGGGGAGGGAAGGAGGATAGATCTGCGAGGGCGGGTAGGAAGGGAGGGGGGGACATACTTGTGAATAACATATCTGCATGCGTGACACCCTTTCCTAGAACATCCACGCACGACTGAACCAATACATTGCTACAGATAGCCACTGATTCAAACCCTCCGCCTAGGGAGAGAGCTTCTGCTAGACGTCCGTCGCCATTCGCTCCACTCACGGGAGGACGCGATACTCTCGGCCAAAAAATCATCTGCGTCATCTGGTCTGCGCGAGCGGGGTGGCGGCAGCGGGAGAGGCCCCGGCCGTACCCACCAACGTAGATATTGATCACAGAACCAATTCACAGGCGAAAAATCCGGCTCACGGCATACTGTATACCTGGGAGTTGCTACGACTGGGATGTGCTGCGCTCGAGCCGAGTTCCACTGCAAGCCTAGCCTGTGAAATGGAGGTCTGCTGGAGGGCAGCGCGATTATTCGCACCGTGGTAGCCATACCGTGGGGCGCACGCTCAGAGCCTCGGGGGCTCGGGGGCTCGGCTTCAGCAGGAAGCAGATCGGGCCGTAGATCACGGAGTCGTGCACGAGCATCGGTGTCAACACCCTCCGGAGCGCTAGCGTGGGCGCAGGGACAATGAACATCGCCAGGTGGTCCGCGATCCGCAGCCACGGCCTCGGGAGAGAGGCAGTTCCGGGCGAGGCGGCCTCAGACGCCGCTGGCATTGGCGCCTCCAGGGACGCAGCACCGGCAGGCGACCTGTCGCCCGAGCGGCTGATAGCAGCACCTTCTCTGCGAGCCGCGGCATCGCCTGCGCCGCGCGGGTACGCGAAGTCCTCGGAGCCGACCGTGGAGCACGAGTCGCTCTCAGCGGACCCGACCGCCTCCTGCCACCCGTGGCTGTCAGGCCCGCTCTCGGCGGACTCGTCCGCGCCGTGGATTCGCTGAATGGGAGCCGCGGTCTCATCGAGCGTCTCCTCAGCTGCAGTCTGGCTTTCCTCCACGTCCAAAGCAGCAACAGTGCGCTTCGGAGCGGGCTGCAAGCACCAGCATACGTCTCTGGATGGCGGCGGCGGCAGCACACGGAGCGGCGGCAGCAAGCTCGAAAAACTCGGCGAGGTAGGTGGAGGCGGTGCTGGCGACCGCCGTAGCCACCATACTGGCACGGCGTAGGCCGGGGGCGGCAGCGCATTCGGCAGCTGGCACCAAGTGGCCATCTCAGCATCGGCGCCCGCCTCGGCCTTCCCGCTCTCAGGGACGAGCTGAACAGGGCGACGGGCAGGAGGCAACTCAGCACCCAGACAGTCGGCACGAATAGCTTCACCTAGATGACCGGCATGAACGGCTTCATCGCCTCCAGCCGTGCCCAGAAGATCGGCGCGACCAGCGCCATACGAATAGCTGCATCAAGGCGATCGGCAGGAACTGCTCCATCACATTCATCTGCACGATCAGCGCCATCAGGGCGATCGGCACGAACATCCAACTCCAGACGATCGGCACAAACTGTGTCCCCGCTAACTGGGCCCTGCAGGCCGGCACGACTAGCGCCATCAGAGCGATCGGCACGAACAGCTGCATCCAGACGATCGTCATGAACAGCGTCATCTCCTCCAGCGTCACCCAGAAGATCAGCACGAACAACTCCGGACGAAGGTGTAGCCGGCGGCAATGGTACGCTTCTCTCCGCAAATGGCGGAGGCGTGTGCGTGTGCGTTGGCGGAGGGCCCACTAGCACTAGCACTCGCGACTGCGGAGCAGCATCACTAGCAAGCCCATCAGCACTTGCAAGACCTGTAGCACGATCATGCGGTACGCAAGGATGGACGGGTTGGGGAAGAACGCCTCGACGTGGCTGGTCACCGCAAGCGTACGCCAGCGCGGCCACGTCGCCCATCCGGACACGGCGGCCGACTCCGGCCGCGTAGCCGAGCCTTCGTACGGCGGCGCGAAGGGGCGGCCTCGGCAGGCAGCAGCCATGGCGCCCGCCGCATCTCGCGGCGCGCGGTCGCCCTCGGCACCTGGCCGGCCCGGGGCGGCGCGCATGGGCCCTGGCCCCCCCCCGTGGGAAATGTCTCCACCGGGGCCAGAGCCTAGGGAGGAGGGAGGAGGGAGGAGGGAGGAAAGAGGAGGGAGGAGGGAGGAGGAGGGAGGAGGAGGGGAGGAGGAGGGAGGAGGAGGGAGAGGAGGAAGAGGAGGAGGAGGAGGAGGAGGAGGAGGAGGAGGAGGAGGAGGAGGAGGAGAGGAAGGAGGGAGGAGGAGTGGGAGGAAGGAGGAGAGGAGAGGAGGCGAGGAGGAGGAGGAGGAGGAGGAGGAGGAGGAGGAGGAGGAGGATGGAGGGGAGGCAGGAGGCGGAGGGGAGGAGGAGGAGGCGGAGGAGGAGGAGGAGGAGGAGGAGGGGCTGTGCTGGCAGAGGGAGGAGGAGGAAGAGATGGGAGAAGAGGAGGAGCTGCTGCTGCTGCTGCTGCGGCGGCTGCGGCTGCTGCTGCTGCTGATGATGATGATGATGAGCGCTGCTGCTGTGCTGTGATGATGATGGTGGTGATGATGATGATGATGATGATGATGATGATCATGATGCTGATGTGATGCTGATGCTGATGCTGCTGATGCTGATGCTGATGCTGATGCTGATGATGATGATGATGATGATGATGATGATGATGATGATGATGATGATGATGATGATGATGATGATTCTGATGTTGATGACGATGATCGATGACGATTGGTATGGCGAGGACAGTCAACCATGCTGCTGCTGATGCTGTGATGATTGCGAGGAGAAGGTGGAGGAGAAGCAGGTGGAGGAGGAGGAGGAGGAGGAGGAGGAGGAGGAGGAGGGGGAGGAGCAGAAGGAGGAGCAGGAGGAGGAGAAGGAGGAGGAGGAGGAGGAGGAGGAGGAGGAAGAGGAGGAGGACGAGGAGGAGGAGGAGGAGGGGAGGATGAGGATGAGGAGGGAGGAGGAGGAGGAGGAGGAGGAGGAGGAGGAGGAGGAGGAGCGAGGAGGAGGAAGAGGAGGAGGAGGAGGAGGGAAATGGAGGAGGAGGAGGAATAGGAAGGAGGAGGAGGAGGAGGAGGAGGAGGAGGAGGAGGAGGAGGAGGAGGAGGAGGGGGAGAGTAGGAGGAGGAGGAGGAGGAGGAGGAGGAGGAGGAGGAGAGGAGGAGGAGGAGGAGGAGGAGGAGGGGAGGAGGAGGAGGGGAGGAGGAGGAGAGACAGATCCCCCTTTCCCTCCTGCCTCCTTCTCCTCCTTCCTCCTCCTCCCGCGCGCGCGCGGGACGGCGTCCTGGGGCGCCCTGGGCGCGCTCCAAGCAGTGGCTCCGCCCGTGGCCGAGCGGCGCGGCCGGCCCCCCAGACCTCGGGCGCCCTCCTGATCCTTGAGGCGATCCTGGCCTCGAAGGGCATTCGCTGCCTCGATACGGTGGGGACCCATGCCAAGAAACACCTTGCTTGCCTCCAGGGTGCCCTGGGTTTCTTGGGTTTCGATGGTTTTACTGTGGCAAGCGTGACGTTCCCACACCAAAAGTCAATGGACGTCTTGGGGTCTCAGGGTTGGGTTCTTGTGGAAGGTTTCTTGTGGACTGGCCTCCACTGTACGCAACACGCGCCGTGCTCAAGACCTCCGCGTCGATACGCTGCGCGTTGACTCGGCGTATTGGCCCACGTTCTGGCGAACGCATCGCGTCGGACCTGCGTTTTCGGTCTACGTGTCGAGCTCCGTGTCGACACGCTACTTTCTGCGTGCTGCGTGTTAGGGCAGCTGAGCGAAGGACGGAGTCAAGAAGCTGAAATCAGGACCGTCTTGGGCTCAGGAGGGGCTGGGGCTTTCGGGTCGTTCCTCGGATTTTTGTCGTGGAACTTGTTTGTGGCCTAGGCCCGCCGTGGCCAGAAAAGCCCCTTCGTTCCTCATCACGCCTTCCTCATGGTAGCACGCTGGCTGCAGGCCATCGAAGTCTTTCACTCATGGCGTTTGGCTAGAGGGTTCTCACATTGGTAGAGGAGGACCACAGACAAGTCCCGCAGGGGGAACGGGCAGCCCTAGAGCGTATGGTCCGGCAGCCGCTTCGCATGAGACTTCCGCGCAATGCATTCAGGAATCAGTCCCTCGCCTTCGTGTTGGCCACATTTTTGGTCAGGACGGCCACGATCCCTAGTAACAGACGCAATGCGGTGCACGTGGCTGCGCTCTCACCCCTGTCCCGGCTGCCCCTTCTCTTTCTCAGGGCTTCCTGGCCGTGCTTCTCCTGCCCCTCCTCCTCCTGCTCCTGCTCCTCCTGCTTCTGCTCCTGCTCCTCCTCCTCCGTAGCCATTTTGGCTCAAGATGTCTATGTCCCTCAGGCAGGAAGCGGATACCTCTAGTCCGAGGCCAGCTCCTGTCCTAGGCAACCCCAGTCGAGCCGCGCGCTGCTGTGGCCAAGAGAACACTCTCCCGGAAGTCCTCACCCAGCCCAGGTCGGGTAAATTGAGGCCTTTCCAGTTCCTGGCCTGGTGCTGTGTGGATCGGCGCCACGGCGACGCTATGGATGCGGAGTCCGCGGACTCCCCTGGCAGCTCTCCTCGGGGTGGTCGTCGTGATCGTCGCGTTGATCGCCGTCCGCCGTCGAGTTCCGACGCGGCCAGCTCTCGGCGCTCCCGCAGTGCTGGACGCAGTGCAGGCCGCGGCTCCGCTGAAGGCCCGCTCTCCCGAGACGACGTGGCCGCGCTGGAGTTGTTCCCGACCTTCTCGGCGTCTCAGCAGCCTCAGGCGGAGGTTGCCTACCCTGCTGATGCTCCTCTGCTCCCTGGCACGGCGGCAGCCCCCAGCGGCCCGCCGACCCCCGGGGTCGGCCTTCCCACGCCCCCCTCGGGAGATGCTGGCGACGCTCCTGGCTGGCCTCCTGGACGGGATCCTTGGGCTGTTCATCTACGCGCATCCCCTGGAGGTCCACGCGGAGGGGAGGCTGGCGTCGGCGACAACCCTCAGAGCAGGGCTGAGACGATGGAGCGCTTCAAGCAGAACATCAACGTTGAGATGTCGCGCGCCTCAGCGGACTCCATCGCCAATATGATCCGTCCGCACGGAGCTCCCTGGCACCATCACGAACGATGTGCAGCCCCCTCGTTGCGCAGCTCGACATGTCCATGCACCCAGCGCTTCAAGGCTCAGGAGCTCCGCGTGGTCGAGGTCGAGAAGCGCGTTGGCCAGGCGGAGTCCCTGCACTCCTCTCTCGCTGACCGTTTCTCGAAGCTGGAGCAGGAGCTGGACCTGACGAGCGCGGCGCCTCGCGAGCCCATCGCCAGGACGGCGGAGTTGCAGCGTGCCGCTTGCCCTTGCATCTTCGTC